TGACTCGACCAGAGGCGTCCGTTTTGCTACGACGCGACACGACGCAAACGCTCCCGTTAGAACAGCACCATGTGCTGTAATGTGCAGAATTGGCAGAAACATTTGGGAAGCAGTAAAAACGCTTCCCAAACGCCTCTCTGCCACCTGCACACAACGCTAGTGTGAACGTAGCCTAACAAGTAGACTCGAAAGCGAATTTACCAACTAGGCACAATCCAGTAATCAGTCTAAGAAAGCAGACGTGCTAGAAGCACGTCTAACACAATGAAAAATCACTGCAGAAACATGTCCACATTGAAATTTGCTTTTCCAAATATCTGGACTTACATTTCAAAAATTCTTTACAATGGGTAAAAAATAGTTTTTAAGGGAATTCATGACAGTCAAGAACTAGACACTTTTCCAACGTCTATGCAGAGATAGAAATGAGCATGTGCAGGACACAATGTAGCCATCTGCTGTGGGCCCTTTCTTTTTAGACACTGTTTAATAGTAAATCTCTGTGTGGAGTCCTCTGCAAGTCGACACTCGATCGCGTCTACTGTGTTTAACAAACAGCACTATTTGTAGTTAGGCATATCTTTATGTATTATAATTTGATTTCCTTAGTTCTATTGATTCTGTTTTTGTTTCTTATCATTTATAATTATTTCTGTAATGGTTTTACATATTTTGAAGGTCTAGATAATATATATTTTGACAGCTGAATCTAAAAATAAGGTTGGCAATTAAAAAAATAAGAAAACACGGCATGTGGTCCCCCCTCCCATCCATACCAAGCCCTTCAGGTCTGGTATGGATCTTAAGGGGTAACCCCATGCCAAAATAAAAAAAATGGCGTGAGTTCCCCCCCAAATCCATACCAAATCCTTATCCGAGCATGCAGCCCGGCAGGTCAGAAAAGAGGGGGGATGAGCGAGCGCTCCCCCCTCCTGAACCATACCAGGCCACATGCCCGCAACATGGGGGGGTGCTTTGGAGCAGGGGGGGCTCCCCCCAAAGCACCTTGTCTCCATGTTGATGGGGACAAGGGCCTCTTCCCCACAACCCTGGCCAGTGGTTGTGGGGGTCTGCGGGCAGGGTGCTTATCAGAATCTGGAAGCCCCCTTTAACAAGGGGGCCCCCAGATCCTGCCCCCCCACGTGAATGAGTATGGGGTACATGAAACAAAAAACAAAAAGTGTAGTGTAAAAAAAGACAGGACATGGTCTTTGACAAGTCCTTTAATAAAAGAAAAATCTAAAACAATGTCCCCTGAAGTAGATCCAACGTCAGTCATGATGTAAGCTGCCGGTGACCCAAAAAAAGATTAAAAAAAAAAAAGGTTCTGTTCCCCACGATGGCATCCAGCCCTCTGCTGTGAGCTGGGATGACAGCTCCTAAATATGTAAGAGGTGGGGCCACCCGGGGACATCATCCGAGTGACCCCGCCCCATGTGACATCATTGCTGTCACATGGGATGGGGTCACATGTGTGATGTCCCCGGGTGGCCCCGCCCCTTACATATTTAAGAGCTGTCAACCCAGCTCACAGCAGAGGGCTGGATACCATCGTCGGGAACTGAACTTTTTTTTTCTTTTTTCGGGACGCTGGCGGCTTACATCGTGATTGACGTTGGATCTACTTTGTGGGACATTCTTTTAGATTTTTCTTTTAATAAAGGACTTGTCAAAGATCGTGTCCTGTTTTTTTTTACACTACACTTTTTGGTGACTGAGTAGCGGTACCATGTACCCCATATTCATTCACATAGGGAGGGGCGGGATCTGGGGGCCCCCTTGTTACAGGGGACTTCCAGATTCCAATAAGCCCCCTGCCTGCAGACCCCCACAACCACCGGCCAGGGTTGTGGGGAAGAGGCCCTTGTCCCCATCAATATGGGGACAAGGTGCTTTGTCCCTGCCCCAAAGCATCCCCCCATGTTGAGGGCATGTGGCCTTGTATGGTTCAGGAGGGGGGGTGCTCGCTTGTCCCCCCCCTTTCCTGAGCTGCTGGGCTGTATGCTCAGATAAGGGTCTGGTATGGATTTGGTATGGATGGGAGGGGGGACCCCACAAATTTTTTTTTTATTTATTATGGTGCTAGTCTTTAAATGTAATTCTCGCTTTTTTTTCCTCACTATAGCTCAGAAATTCAGTTGTCACTTTCCCCCAGCTAAAAGAGAAAGTTTTCTTTGAGTTTATTTCCCTAAAGGAAACAATGTTTACTTTTAGTTTATTAAAAAATACAAAGTTTTCTGTAACTCTGGGGCAAGTGATAGCTAAGCTTGTAAACTATAATGAAGAAAAAAAAAGGCTGGCATTTGCATTTAAAAATCAGCACTGACATACACTTCGTATTGCAAAAACAATTATGAAAAAGTTTGTAAACTGAGGCATTATTTTCAATGGATTTTCATTCGTAAACCGAAAATTACGTTAACTGAGGCGTTGGTAAACCAAGGTACGCCTGTATTAGTATTGCAATCCTTTGTATTGGGATACATAGAACCAACATACATCTGAACTGGCAACATATCACATTTATGTCACATTTGAGATATCTGACTAGTTACACTGACCTTGCCCAGGGACGTAGGGTTGATTCACACCACAGAAATACAGGCTGGATTAGTGTCAAAGCTCAGTGGATAAGTAGATAGCACTGCTGCCTCACAGCGCTAGGGTCGTCGGTTTGAATCCCAGCCATAGCAATGAAGTTACATGTTCTCCCTGGGTGGCTGTCCTAAAATATGTGCTGGCAGCATCTTTGCTTTCTGTCCAAATGATCATTAGAATGAGGCCTTGTCTGTTCAAACACCTTCAAAGCTGCACCTTATGTGAATGTCAAAAGATGGGGGTGAGATAAGGGCCTGGACTAATGATTGATTTGATAATGCTGGTTTGCACTCCGCCCCCTTTTGGGAAGGGTTTGTCAAGCCAAGAGCTGAGAGAGAGAGAGAAGAGAGAGAAGAGCGAGCGAGAGAGAGAGAAAAGGATTACAAAAAAAAAAATTATAAAAATAATGGCATGGAGTCCCCCCCATATCCATAACAGACCCTTATCCGAGCATGCAGATTTCGAATGTCTTCAATGATTTATTTCCTTTGTTGAATTGCCTGCTTGGCTCACACTAGATGTGATTTAAAATTGCGCTTTTTGTGGGCAATTTTTCACCGTGTTTCTTGTAGATTTACCAACAAGTTATTGCGTTTTCAATTGTGTTTTGCATTGCGGTTTCTAATGTAGTCTATATGTGAAATCACTACAAAATGCAGAAAAAGTTTGAAATCGCGTATGTTAAGACACTCACATTCACATTAATTAGATCCAATATCAGGTATGATTTAAATTCCCAAATCGCACCTGAAATCGCGCACCCTGGATGCGACTTGGCATGCAATTTGCATGCCCTGCAACTTGCAAATCGCATGCCAAATTGCACCCGAAGTGACCGGGGGCTAACACCACAGTCACATCTAATCTGATTTGGAAATTGGGCAATTTACAGTGATGTCACATGATTTCAAAATTATATTGAGCCTATAGTGGACAATAGGGTGAGACTTGGCCTACAATTTGCAAGTCACCTGTCATGCAAATCGCATGCCAAATCGCACCCGATGTGAATGGGGACCACCCTGGTCACATCAAAGTGGATTTTGAAGTGGTGCGACTTGCACTACGGTCACATCATGTAACTTACAGTGAAGTCGTATTTCAAAGTCGGGGGACATGCTGATTTAAAGTGCAATTTGCAAGACCTCTGACACAGATCTCTCTGCAAATCGCATGAAAAATAGTGTATTCATTACTTTATAAAAATTGTTGCGGCTCCAAACAAGTTTGAACCACACCAATATGAACACTCTAATAGCGGTCACATTGAGTGCAACTTGGCATGTGATTTGCATGACATGCGATTTGCAAATCGTATGCCAAGTAGCACCCTATTGTACGCTATTAGAGTGGTCACATGGGTGCGTTTCCGACACTGATTTCTAAAGTAGTACATGTACCACTTTTGTGGCGATCTGCATAGATATCTGTGTCAGATGTCTTGCAAATCGCAAGGGCAACTTCACTGTAAGTCGCACAATTTCTAAATAGGGTTTGATGTGACCGGGGTGTAAGGTCTTTTTATGTTTGATATCCGGAGTGTTTTTTTCCGATTTATGGGAAATCCCACATACTAGCAAATGTGAATTGACATTTTCAGTATTGCATGCAAGATGTGGTCATGTGACTGCCTTAACTGCGATAATCTGGAATAAATTATGCCCATAGTGCCAATAAATGTTGCCATGGCGTTCCCCTTCACATCCCTGTTCAATTTTCTGTTGTATGCTGCACAGGTACACTTCACTGTGGATTTCTTTCTGACTCTGATTTGTGGGGCCTGTATACCAAGGGTTAACGCAGGTGAGAAGATTGGTGCTGGATAATCAGGTGCAAGCACTTTCTCTGACCAAATTAATGACTGTGGTGGGTGTGGCCTTTATTGGGGGTGGGGCTTTGTTTTGTGTGCTCCAATTGCAACCTATGTTATATAAAGACCTGCAGTAGTGGGTGATTTCCTGTTACTAGGCCAAGTTATTTTCAGCAAATCCGTGCTTGTGGTGGTTTGGGGAGGAAGAGATATTGTGCTGAATTGCCCCAGACCCCACTCACGCTGTGTTTTGATGTGGGCTGTAAATGTTTTGCATTTTTTTCCTTCTAAAGTGTGTTTGTGTATTATTGTACAATGATTGTGTGTTTATTATCTTTGCATTGTAATCCTAACACATGCCAATTGCTCTGCTCTTCCAAATCAGCACTTGGCTATAGTTTGCTTATTTAACCACTAGCCTACAGGGCACTTATACCCCCATCCTGCCCAGGCCAATTTCCATCTTTCAGCGCTGTCGCACTTTGAATGACAATTGCGCGGTCAAACAACACTGTACCCATATGAAATTTTTATCATTTTTTTGTGACAGATAGAGCTTTATTTTGGTGGTATTTAATCACCTCTGGGTTTTTTATTTTTTTTTTTAACAAACCAAAAACCACTGAAAATTTTGAAAAAAAAATGTTTTTTCTTAGTTTTTTTTGTTATAAAATGTTGTAAATAAGTGATTTTTTTCTCCTTCACTGATGTGCGCTAATGAGGCTGCACTGATGGGCACTGATAGGCTGCACTGATGGACACTGATAGGTGGCACCGATGGTCACTGATGAGGAGGCACTGGTAGGTGGCACTGATGGGCATTGACAGACATCACTGATGGGCACTGAAAGGCAGCACTGATATATGGCACCGATAGGCAGCACTGATAGGCAGCACTGACTGGCACTGTTCGGCGGCGGCACTGACAGGCACTGATAGTGGCACTGATGTGCACTGATAGGCGGCACTGACTGGAACTGATATGTGGCACTGATTGGCATCACTGATAGGCATTGATAGGTGGCACTGACTGGCACTAATGGGTGACACTGAAAGGCAGCTCAGATGGGCACTGATATGTGGCATTGATGTGCACTGATATGTGGCATTGATGTGGCACTGGCACGAGGCACTGACATAAGACACTGATGGACACTGACAGGTGGCACTGCTGGGGCCACACTGATCATCAGGGCACACTGATCATCAGTGCCCTGATGATCAGTGTACATGTCCCCTCCGTGGAAAGACGATTATCGGCTCTCCTCTCGAGCTGTCAGCGTGACAGCTCAAGAGGAGAGAAATGCCGATAACTGGCATTTCCCTGTTTACATGTGATCAGCTGTGATTGGACACAGCTGATCACATGACCGAAACCGGCATCTTCGGCTCTTTCCGTGATCGGTGATCCGCTGTGTCCGAGGGACACAGCGCACCATCGATCGACGCGTTGCGCGCTCCCTGAGCCGCACATGCGCAGTGAGAATGGTAGGACATCATATGACGTCCTCCCAGAACGAGAGAACCACCTTGCGCCTGTCATATTACTATATGGCGACGGGAGGTGGTTAAACTGAAATGCAGTTTTAGGACAAACCTGATGAGAAATGTATGTGTGGGGGATTTGGGGAGGTGGGAGGCGTTTGGTATTTTGGCACTGTCTTATGTATTTTTATATTGATATTTTAATCTGCTGCCTGTTTTGTGGATAGATAATCCTACTAAGTGGTGGTGTGTGTTAATTGTTTGGCCCTGAAAATGTTACTTGATTCATATTAACCATTTGTTTCCTGCTGTAACCTGTGAAAGCACAGTTCATTAGAAGTATAATTTAGATTGTAAGCTCTTATGAGCAGGACCGTTCTATTTCAGCAACATCAATCCTGCTTTTCTTTTTTTTTCCCACCAAGTAGTTGACTGTACCTACTTGTTGCTGCTGTCTAAATAAATGTGGAATATATATTTGATCAATATACAGTTGCAAGAAAAAAGTATGTGAACCCCTTGGGATTACGTGGAGTTTTGCATGAAATGGGCATAAAATGTGCTGTGAACATCATCTAAGTCACAACAATAGAAGAACCCACAGTCTGCTGAACATAAGACTACACAAACATTAGATGTTGCCATGGTTTAATTGCACATAACATGTAAACATTCATAGTGCAGGGAGGAAAAAGTATGTGAGGCCCTAGCTTAATGACCTCTCCCAGAGCTAATTGGAGCCAGGAGTGAGCCAACCTTGACTCCAATCAGTGTGATGATATTGGATGTGTTGCTGACAGCTGTCTTGCCCTTAAAAAACACACACCTGTTAGGGGTTTACTGGTTTCAAGAAGCACTGTCTGATGTGAACTATGCCTCGCAGAAAAGTGCTCTCAGAAGACCTATGATCAAGAATTGTTGACTTGCATGAAGCTGCAAAGGGTTACAAAAGTATCTCCAAAAGCCTTGATGTTCATGTGTCCACGGTAAGACAGACTGTCTACAAATAGAGAAAGTTTAGCACTGTTGCTACTCTCCCTAGGCGTGGTCGTCCTGTAAAAATGACTGCAAGAGCACAGCGCAGAATGCTGCATGAGGTAAAGAAGAATCCCAGAGTGTCAGCTAAAGACCTACAGAAATCTCTGGCACATGCTAACATTTTTGTTGACACATCTACAATAAGGAAAACATTAAACAAGAATGGAGTACATGGGAGGACACCACGGAGGAAGCCATTGCCGTCCAAATAGAATATTGCAGCACGTTTGAAGTTTGCAAAAGAGCACCTGGATTTTCCACAGCACTACTGGCAAAATATACTGTGGAAAGATGAAACCAAGATTGAGTTGTTTGGGAAGAACACACAACACTATGTGTGGAGAAAAAAAGGCACAGCACACCAACATCAAAACCTCATCCCCACTGTGAAACATGGCGGAGGGAGCATCATGGTTTGGGGCTGCTTTGCTGCCTCAGGTCCTGGACGGATTGTTGTCATTGATGGGAAAATGAATTCCAGAGTTTATCAAGACATTTTGCAGGAAAACGTACGACCATCTGTCCGCCAACTGAAGCTCCGCAGAGGATGGGTGATGCAACAGGACAATGACCCAAAGCATACAAGTAATTCAACAAAACAATGGCTGCAACAGCACAGAATATGCCTTCTGGAGTGGCCCAGTCAGAGTCCTGACCTCAACCCGATTGAAATGCTGTGGCATGACCTTAAGAGAGCGATTCACACCAGACATCCCAAGAATATTGCTACACTGAAACAGTTTTGTGAAGAGGAGTGGTCCAAAATGACTCCAGATCGTTGTGCAGGTCTGATCTGCAACTACAGGAAACGTTTGGTTGAGGTTATTGCTGCCAAAGGAGGGTCAACCAGTTATTAAGTCCAAAGGTTCACATACTTTTTCCTCCCTGCACTGTGAATGTTTACATGTTATGTGCTATTAAACCATGGCAACATCTAATGTTTGTGTAGCATTATGTTCAGCAGACTGTGTTCTTCTATTGTTGTGACTTAGATGATGTTCAGGGCACATTTTATGCCCAATTCATGCAAAACTCCACGTAATCCCAAGGGGTTCACATACTTTTTCTTGCAACTGTATGTTTGGACTATGTATTTTTTGGGGGGGTTATTTCATGTTCAATATACTAGCACCCCTAACACTTATATTTTGCAAGTTATATAATATGCCCAAATCTAGCTTGTTAGAGCGCACATATGCAAGTATGTCCAAACTAACAAACCAAAAGCCCCCTATTGCACCACAAGACCATGTTATGTACCAATGAATAGGTCATGTTCAATGTGCAGCTAGCTATTCTTTTTCTACAATCCTCTTAACAGTAATAAATTAGGCCTCCAATTTATATTGACTTTGGCCTTTACAGGCAAACATATATTCACCAATGCCAAATACACAATAGAACTGCAAACATATATTCGTCAATGCCAAATACACAATAGAGCCGCCAACATATATTCACCAATGCCAAATACACAAAAGAACTGCAAACATATATTTACCAATGCCAAATACACAACATATATTTGCAAATGTCATATACACAATAGAGTCATGTGAAAAATTGCTATGGTGCAAAAATAAACGCCAAGACGGCTGTTGGAGGAGGCGCTAGAGCAGCTCTCATACCGGAAATACGTCATGACATTTGCGGAAGGACGTTCGTGTGCACCCGGAAGTGGTAGTTGGGAGTGGATGGGAGTGTAGTTAGGAGAGTTTAGTGGTAATTTACAAACCTGTTTTTTGGCTTTGTGAATTTCTTTTGTAGAATTCCAGACCACATCTGGACATGGCGAGATCGCTGTTCTCGACCAAGGAGCTGATCCTCATTTGCAGGGGAAACATTACTAATAATTGTTGTATTTTCAGTTGAAAACATGTCCGATTCCTAGATACATTGAGGTACATAGCAGAGGTTCAAGGTATTCCATAGAAAAAGTTATTGTTCTTCCTAACTATACAGGTGGCACAGACACAAGCATACACCCAGGGCCACTGTTAGATACCACGGGGCCCCGTACAGCCTACCTGACAGCCCCCCACCGCCAGAGAAAATATCCAAATTATATTTATGGTAAAAATACACTAAAAACATTAATGGACACAATCCCAACCATATTCATGTTACATCTAAATGATAAAACTGTACTGAGTTAATAAATAAAGCTGTGTGTAATTGAGGTCTTGGGGCTCATTCACATGGGTGCTGTGGCCTGTAGAGTGGGAATCAGTGGTTTGTTTTTGTGGCTGTCACCGTTTGCAGGCAACATATGTTACACTGTGGAAATGCTGCAGGTCCTAATTTGACAAGCATATGGGTGCAGGTGTACAGCCCTGAACACAGACAGCGAGCATTCAGGGCCACTTACCCACGCCTTTCACACCTGTCAGATTAAAACCTGTGTTAATACAGCTGATGTGTCCCCATAGTGTAACAGGTGGCTCCAGACACATGAAAAACCCACTCATTTAGGACAGAGGACCCGTGCGAATGTGGCATTTTTTACTTTTTTTCCCTCAGCTCATTAATTTCAATGGGCTGAAAATGTGTGGGAACATGAAGAAATACTGCAGGCGTATTATTTTAAAAGTGTGTTGCACCTAACCGCACAGTAGTGTGGTGCCATGCGTTTTGGTGACTGTGAATGCGTCTGTGTTTACTAGACATGTGGAGGTGCAATTAAGTTTCATCATGGTACCTGCGCACATCTGCAAAGGGCATTGCAGTTCTTTGCTGTGCAGTAAAATGCCTGCTCTTGCATGCGTTTCTGCACTACAAATGGTGTGAACAAGTCCTAAGGGCCAGTTCACACTATAGAAACAGTCTTGATGTGTTCCAGATGCATTTTTGCATGCTCTTTTTTGAGGCATATTTAGCATATTCCAGTGCATTTTGGATGCGTTTTTGATGTGTTCCAGTGCATTTTTTGATGCATTCCAGTTAATTTTTTCCCTCTCTTTTTCTTCAATTTAATTAGGGACATGTGGGTTTTAATGCATTCCAGAACGTTTTACCACGGTCCATACAGTTCTATGCATAAACAATGCAGCCTGTTAGACTTTTTTGGCAGCACCGGCAACGCACTGGAACTGCAAGCACTGATGTGAACTATGACATTGACAACCATATAACCTTCTTTCTGTGCATTTTGGATACAGAAAAAGCAACTGAAACACATGTAGTGTGAACTGTACCTAAAGGTTATTATAGGTAAGGGAAAGGGACTGACCAGGAATTGTGAATTCAATCAGACTAGTGGTGAGATACAATTAGGAATCTTATAATAATGCTAGATCTGAGTTGTAGGTGATAGGAAATGAGACACATTAACTTGATCAGTAAATAAATAGTTAAATAAAAAAAGTGGGGCGGTGATACATAGATTTGCAGATGGAACAGGTGACGACGGGGGGGGGGGGGTGAAGTTGTATAAGGAGAGAGGTTTAAGGGCTTGTTCACACTTGACTTTATTTCTAACTCTTGCCAAACGGCCCTATAGCATTTGACAGGCATCTGGGAAGTGTTTTTAACGCTCTTCAAACGCTCCCCTAAAGCCCTATGCAAGGTTTTTTGTGGCGTTTGATAGGTGTTTGCCAAGCATTAAAACTGCACCACAAATGCCTATAATGAAGTTAAATGGTATTAATGGTATTACAAACGGCTCACAACCGTGTCGCAACCGCACCGCAAACGCCTGCTAGGCATTTGAGAAGCAGCACCATAGACTTGAATGGGGGCTTCAACTTCTCCTGACTCGACATGGGGTGCCAGTTTTGCCGCGAGGCAATGCTTGCTCTTCAGTGTGAACAGCACTGTGTGCTACTATGTGCAGAATTTTCATAGGCATTTGAGAAGAGTTAAAAACGCTTCCCAAACGCCTGTCTGACGCCTGCTGACAAAGCTAG